TAATACTTGATTTCGTTGAGCTGTATAATTAAACGTGTAACTACAGGAAACCAAACAAATTTAAAAATATTTTTTGGCAATCAGTTTAGGAAATGACATTACTGATGTCAGTGACTCTTTGAAACGTGAAATTTCATTACGTGTAAAGCATATTTGAGGGCAAAATCTAGAGACAGGATACTGACACATCCCATCCATTGATCCAAGTATTAATTATAATAATGAATGAACGCATGGAAGATTTTTAGGCGCCGAGTTCAATTTTTATAGGGTGTTTTTTGCGAATTCCTTGTAACAATAATAACGTTGTGCGAATAGAAATGGAATGCAAATTAAGTCTGTTAATTGCAAATGAAGTGATCGTTACAAAGACATTTGAACATCATAAAAGTAGATACTGTTAGAATAGACTTACAAAAGGATCATGCATTAGTATCTGTTGTAGTGATGCGCTTAAAGAAATTTAGTATGCCTATAAAAATGACTTGAAAAGATTTTCTATAATGTCAAACTCTTAAGGGGAACCAACGAGCTTTAGCAACCCATCAAAATCAACATAAATTCAAAATGGAAAACTTTAAATGATTGCTCTGCTTCCATCAGACGAAAGAGTTGAATGGGCTACACCCCTGGGTCACCACAATTTGGGGACGGCAATTTTGTTTGCGCTATAATCAATTGGACTGCTTAATTCGAGTTTTATACTTTGATGTACAATATTGAAATGTGGTGTTACAGGAAGATCTCAAAGAATCGTGAATAGACGAGTTGGGTATTAGTAAGAGTGCTGAATGAGTACTATTATCTAACTGTTATCACCCGAAACACTAAACGTAATCCAAATTCTCCAAACTTTAAAAGATTATAAATATAATGCATAGAATTCAAATTTTGTTGCATTGACGTATTATTTTACGCCAATCCAAAGTAGGAATATACGCGACTATGTGATTTAAAAAATTGTTGGTAAAAACGATAACACTAAAAATTACCATTAAAGAAAAAAACGAAATAGCATTTCGTGTAATTTAACCAGTAACAATAATTAAGTCTGTAGTGCACGGTCCGTACACAAACAATTTACAGTTAGATTTAAATTGAAACAGACAAAATAGGAATACGGACATGTTATGTTGTACTTTTTAATTAGACAATATCATTTAATCATTTTTGTGCAAATGTGGTAAGTAGAGTGCCCCTTCGAATATGTAAATTACCTTGTAATGACGTAAAAAACTACAACTGGCATTAATTGACTTCAATTAAGCGAATTTTCTACTTTAACTATCGCAACAAGTTAACGTTTAAGCCAACCGAGCGAATAAATTGAACAAGAAGATAAATACACAATTCTAATTTCTTGGCGTATAGATATCACGCGACAATAACGTGATGACAATCGAATGAAATTAAATATTATATGTTGCAGGAATAATTCTGACACCTCTTATTATATTAAACTATCTGCAATACAGACTTTAAAAATGAAATTTCNCTGTTTTTGCTCATGGCAATTGTACGACCCTTATTTCGGGACGCACTCAAATTCCGCTGGTGCCATTCGATTCTACGTTCATTTTTACGTACATTTCGACTTTTATATATTCCGAAACAATATATTAACAAGTCGAAAAATTACGAGCGCTTTTTTATTATCCTAATTTTAGCTGTTTTTGCTCATGGCAATTGTACGACCCTTATTTCGGGACGCACTCAAATTCCGCTGGTGCCATTCGATTCTACGTTCATTTTTACGTACATTTCGACTTTTATATATTCCGAAACAATATATTAACAAGTCGAAAAATTACGAGCGCTTTTTTATTATCCTAATTTTAGCTGTTTTTGCTCATGGCAATTGTACGACCCTTATTTCGGGACGCACTCAAATTCCGCTGGTGCCATTCGATTCTACGTTCATTTTTACGTACATTTCGACTTTTATATATTCCGAAACAATATATTAACAAGTCGAAAAATTACGAGCGCTTTTTTATTATCCTAATTTTAGCTGTTTTTGCTCATGGCAATTGTACGACCCTTATTTCGGGACGCACTCAAATTCCGCTGGTGCCATTCGATTCTACGTTCATTTTTACGTACATTTCGACTTTTATATATTCCGAAACAATATATTAACAAGTCGAAAAATTACGAGCGCTTTTTTATTATCCTAATTTTAGCTGTTTTTGCTCATGGCAATTGTACGACCCTTATTTCGGGACGCACTCAAATTCCGCTGGTGCCATTCGATTCTACGTTCATTTTTACGTACATTTCGACTTTTATATATTCCGAAACAATATATTAACAAGTCGAAAAATTACGAGCGCTTTTTTATTATCCTAATTTTAGCTGTTTTTGCTCATGGCAATTGTACGACCCTTATTTCGGGACGCACTCAAATTCCGCTGGTGCCATTCGATTCTACGTTCATTTTTACGTACATTTCGACTTTTATATATTCCGAAACAATATATTAACAAGTCGAAAAATTACGAGCGCTTTTTTATTATCCTAATTTTAGCTGTTTTTGCTCATGGCAATTGTACGACCCTTATTTCGGGACGCACTCAAATTCCGCTGGTGCCATTCGATTCTACGTTCATTTTTACGTACATTTCGACTTTTATATATTCCGAAACAATATATTAACAAGTCGAAAAATTACGAGCGCTTTTTTATTATCCTAATTTTAGCTGTTTTTGCTCATGGCAATTGTACGACCCTTATTTCGGGACGCACTCAAATTCCGCTGGTGCCATTCGATTCTACGTTCATTTTTACGTACATTTCGACTTTTATATATTCCGAAACAATATATTAACAAGTCGAAAAATTACGAGCGCTTTTTTATTATCCTAATTTTAGCTGTTTTTGCTCATGGCAATTGTACGACCCTTATTTCGGGACGCACTCAAATTCCGCTGGTGCCATTCGATTCTACGTTCATTTTTACGTACATTTCGACTTTTATATATTCCGAAACAATATATTAACAAGTCGAAAAATTACGAGCGCTTTTTTATTATCCTAATTTTAGCTGTTTTTGCTCATGGCAATTGTACGACCCTTATTTCGGGACGCACTCAAATTCCGCTGGTGCCATTCGATTCTACGTTCATTTTTACGTACATTTCGACTTTTATATATTCCGAAACAATATATTAACAAGTCGAAAAATTACGAGCGCTTTTTTATTATCCTAATTTTAGCTGTTTTTGCTCATGGCAATTGTACGACCCTTATTTCGGGACGCACTCAAATTCCGCTGGTGCCATTCGATTCTACGTTCATTTTTACGTACATTTCGACTTTTATATATTCCGAAACAATATATTAACAAGTCGAAAAATTACGAGCGCTTTTTTATTATCCTAATTTTAGCTGTTTTTGCTCATGGCAATTGTACGACCCTTATTTCGGGACGCACTCAAATTCCGCTGGTGCCATTCGATTCTACGTTCATTTTTACGTACATTTCGACTTTTATATATTCCGAAACAATATATTAACAAGTCGAAAAATTACGAGCGCTTTTTTATTATCCTAATTTTAGCTGTTTTTGCTCATGGCAATTGTACGACCCTTATTTCGGGACGCACTCAAATTCCGCTGGTGCCATTCGATTCTACGTTCATTTTTACGTACATTTCGACTTTTATATATTCCGAAACAATATATTAACAAGTCGAAAAATTACGAGCGCTTTTTTATTATCCTAATTTTAGCTGTTTTTGCTCATGGCAATTGTACGACCCTTATTTCGGGACGCACTCAAATTCCGCTGGTGCCATTCGATTCTACGTTCATTTTTACGTACATTTCGACTTTTATATATTCCGAAACAATATATTAACAAGTCGAAAAATTACGAGCGCTTTTTTATTATCCTAATTTTAGCTGTTTTTGCTCATGGCAATTGTACGACCCTTATTTCGGGACGCACTCAAATTCCGCTGGTGCCATTCGATTCTACGTTCATTTTTACGTACATTTCGACTTTTATATATTCCGAAACAATATATTAACAAGTCGAAAAATTACGAGCGCTTTTTTATTATCCTAATTTTAGCTGTTTTTGCTCATGGCAATTGTACGACCCTTATTTCGGGACGCACTCAAATTCCGCTGGTGCCATTCGATTCTACGTTCATTTTTACGTACATTTCGACTTTTATATATTCCGAAACAATATATTAACAAGTCGAAAAATTACGAGCGCTTTTTTATTATCCTAATTTTAGCTGTTTTTGCTCATGGCAATTGTACGACCCTTATTTCGGGACGCACTCAAATTCCGCTGGTGCCATTCGATTCTACGTTCATTTTTACGTACATTTCGACTTTTATATATTCCGAAACAATATATTAACAAGTCGAAAAATTACGAGCGCTTTTTTATTATCCTAATTTTAGCTGTTTTTGCTCATGGCAATTGTACGACCCTTATTTCGGGACGCACTCAAATTCCGCTGGTGCCATTCGATTCTACGTTCATTTTTACGTACATTTCGACTTTTATATATTCCGAAACAATATATTAACAAGTCGAAAAATTACGAGCGCTTTTTTATTATCCTAATTTTAGCTGTTTTTGCTCATGGCAATTGTACGACCCTTATTTCGGGACGCACTCAAATTCCGCTGGTGCCATTCGATTCTACGTTCATTTTTACGTACATTTCGACTTTTATATATTCCGAAACAATATATTAACAAGTCGAAAAATTACGAGCGCTTTTTTATTATCCTAATTTTAGCTGTTTTTGCTCATGGCAATTGTACGACCCTTATTTCGGGACGCACTCAAATTCCGCTGGTGCCATTCGATTCTACGTTCATTTTTACGTACATTTCGACTTTTATATATTCCGAAACAATATATTAACAAGTCGAAAAATTACGAGCGCTTTTTTATTATCCTAATTTTAGCTGTTTTGCTCATGGCAATTGTACGACCCTTATTTCGGGACGCACTCAAATTCCGCTGGTGCCATTCGATTCTACGTTCATTTTTACGTACATTTAGACTTTTATATAATCCGAAACAATATATTAACAAGTCGAAAAATTACGAGCGCTTTTTTATTGCAATCACAATCTGAGTTTTTGAAAACGTATATGGAGCCCCAGCGTGTGAAATGCATGCGATTGTGTACTTTTGAGTTATTTCATTATTATTCCAACCATTAAATATTGGATAACTGTGTTTGATGTTTTTTTCCGATGTGCACGTTTATCTCATCCAAGGCTGTTGGCTTTTTATTGAGACATTTCCGGGAAACTACCTACTCTGCTCGTTCCATAGGTCGATTGCACTCTATCTCTCTCTCCCCCCAATCGTGCATTTATAAATAATTCAGTGGAAGAAATCCAAAAATAAGCTTGCCAAAGGCACGAAATCTTGGCGTCGATTAATATACCTGCACGAACAATTTTTAATCTTCTTTGTATTAATATCTATACAAAGTGAAGTGAGATAGTAGTTGGCAAAAATCATTGGCTTTGTGCAATATTTCCAATCGCTAGTTAAACAGTGTGCAATATTGTCGTATAGCCTTCGTTAAGTAGCATTTTCTTACCAACTGTGTGCATGTTGTAAAAGGGAAGTGGACAAAGATAAAAAAAATCATGGCGTGTATGTTGCTGTCCATGACTTTTGTGACTAATGCTTTACGATATAAGTAGTTTAGTAACTATCTACAGTTTTTTTATCAGTTTCATATCGAGCACTACACGAGTTTGTGCTTTGTGTCGCTCTGATACTTTTATTGGAATATTTACTAGTGTTTGTAGTTTGTACTGGTGTTGGAGCTACCGAAAACTCAAGTTAAATATTATCATATAAATGATATATATGTAAGTGTTGATTTTTAATAATATTTTGTAATAGTTTTGTGTGTTTCGCCAGTGTCTGCCATTTTAGATCCTAACTTCCTGTAACTGTTCACAGTAACCACAAAGAATTGGTAATTTTTGAATTAATTTCCCTTTGCAAAGTTATTTGACGTTGATGTTTTACTAATTTTATTATATAATTACTAATTACTGATTTCGGACCCTATTTAAGTAAACGTGTCTTTAAATGTCGTTAAATCGATTTCAGAAACTTTATTGAATTGTTTTCAATTTTGTAAACTACACAATTCCTAGAAAAAGTAATTATAGGTATATTAAACTTGAGTGCTGCTCTTAGATTAAAATCTAATATTAGACATTACAGAATTGTGGAAATTGTGTGTAAAGTATTCATTTTAATGCTGGTACTAACCAGTACCTAACAATTAGAACAATTTCAACTGTTTACTTCACTTTTTCTTGATAATTGAATATTTTTGAAAACCTACGTAAATCCAGAATAACTCAAATTTATTTTAAGAATTTTTGTTTGTTATTGTGAGTAGTTTTTGAACATCCTGTGTATGCCGCTTGCCTTATTTAGTTCAGGAAATAACACACTGTCCTTTCGATTGCAATGAGATTGTATTTGTACTTAAATCAGTTCAATGTTACTGAAGTTATTTATTGAACATTTAAAAGTAATTTATTTGCAAATCAGTTTAATAAACTTGATTGGTAAAGCATCGTTGCTGAATGATGCTGCGTCAATAAAAAATAGCAATAAACAATTTCAAATGGAAAATTAATTTCTAATTGTTATTTTAATTGCTTATTTTTGTGGACTGTATTTTTTATAAAGTTATATCGCCACAAACAAACCTTTTACTTGACTAAAAAACTTTTACAATTACTTATGAGACCATCTGTAAAGTAGGAGCTCAATTACTTGTGGTAGGTACTGTAAGTAGGAATTAAACATGAGTACAAAATCTATAATCTGAAAATAGTTCCATAGCATTAAATTTTTTTTATGGATTATGTGTTGCAACATTTTCTATAATTAAATTTGTGTTGCATTGAATCTATTATAATAGATTAATTATAATTAGTTATTTATTGTGCGTTTAGTTGTGGTTTTGAAAAGGTAACATTACATTTTGAATTAGCATCATGTAATATTATATTGTGTGATGTAAAACTATTCTGAGTAAGACACTTCTGAGAAATTCCCTTATATTCCAGCTAAAATTATTATTAGCACCCTATCGATTTTAGTGTGTCAAGTGGGGGTAAATTTGGTAACGTAGTTGCGCTTTGCGTTCTTAAACACCCCTTTAAAAGCACCTTAACATATTCAAGTGATTCTCTTTATTCCAGCACAATGCCCAACCACGTATCAAAGAAGTCCAAAACCCAGGACCCCATAGACACAGTCGTTGGGTCAGTCTCTGAAGACTTAGAAGTGCCTGTAGCATCTGAGATCGTTTTCAGGAAGATATGGAGGATTAGAAAGTTCAAGAAAGCTGTTTCGAAGTTGGACTTTGTAGATAGTCCTGCATTTACTTGTTCAGTAAATGGAACCATAACCCAGTGGAATGTGTCTGTTAGGTTTTGGAAAGGTAAAATGCTTGCTTTTTACAATATTTTAGCATAATATCTAATTTTATGGTTTGTAGGTTCTAATGGCAAAAAAGTTACCAATCCAGTTGTTCTTTGTTTGAATTTGACTGGTGTACACACTTCAGAAACCGGCCAAGCTCGTATTAGATACCAATTTGGTGTCTGGGATGCCAACATAAGACACTGGGAATGTTCATCTATATCAAGTACCGTTCTCAACTTAGAAAGTAGGCAAGATTTGCTCTCTATAGGCTACAAAAGTCTTGGAATTCATGATAGACACAGTGATAATGGTAAGTTGGTTTTTCTTTTTTTTTATTTTAATCGAAGGGAAGGTTTCTTTCTGTTTTTCTTTTTTATTTTATCTTAACACAATGCATATGGATCAAAAAGATCTTTCGCAATGTGTTGGATGCTGTTTTATTATTTATTTTTATTAAGAAGATGATTTTTGTCTAGGGTTGCCTTAGTGTGCATCATGTATTTTCTTGCAGAAAAAGATGTAAGAATAATGATAAAAATTCAAATAATCCACAGCGAGGAGGAAGAGCACAGCTTGTCACAGGATTTGGCAAGAATTTTAGCAGTAAACTCTGAAGAATTTTCAGACACAATTATTGAATGTGCCTCTGATGAAGGAAACAAAACTTTAAAGTCCCACAGTCTGCTTATAAGATCGAGAAGCAAGAAGTTGGGCACAAAATTGGAAGATTTCCAAGACAAAGAAAACAAAGTAAGTCCCTGAACAAACAGGGTATAAAAATAGCCTTTATAATATGTTATATACAAAACAACTTGCACATTGTTTTATTTGAATGCACTCCAATATGAAAATAATATTATTTTAGTGAGCAATTAAATTTTATAATTTATGTTTTACTTGGCTTTGGTACCTATTAATTTGTAAACAAAATGAATTAAAAACAAAATTGCTTTCAGTGGAAATTAAATCACCACTGTTTTTCATTATATTTGTTTTTTTTTGTGGGTATGTTTGAATTATTTTAAATTTTCTGTCCTCAAATTCGATTTTTCTTTTTTTCAGAATATAAGGTACAAACTTGACCTTTCTTTCATTCCACACGACGTTGTCCAAGAATTTTTGAGATACATATACACAGATAAAGTCCAAAATGCTGAAATGTATGCTTGTAAGCTGTTGCCCTTGTCAAAAAGGTATGGTCTGCCTGGCCTTACTGCCCTTTGCGAACGCACCCTCATCACCAGCATAACACCAACAACTGTACCCAATATTCTTCTTCTTGCTGATGAATGTGGTTGTGAGAATCTCAGGAAAGCTGCCCTTCATTACTGTGAAGATTCAGAAGAGGTCAAAGGCAACGTACACATTGGTAAGAAAGTAAAATAAGTTTAAGATTGTTAATATTATTATTTCTAGAATAAAAAGCTCTAAAACCTGAAAAATGACAATAATATTGACTATTTATAAATAAACATTATTATAAGTGTAGAAAAAATAAAATGGTGTTCATGAAATTTAAAGTTCAAAAATAAAGGGGTTCAAAAACGTGTAGGGTAATTTACAAATCATATACTAGAACAATACTGGGTATTATATGAAAGAGCATTATTTATACATCCCTAAACAATTTTTGTTTTAATTCTAAACCCTCTACTTTTTAATTTAAAGCCAAGAATGTGTGAAAAAATACGTTTGACCCCCTCTATTTTCCAGAGTTGTAAACAGAAAAATCTAAAATAATTCATACAATTAGAAATTACTTTATATATTGCAGGAAAAATAAAATGTTGCCCTGGATATTCAAAGTTTGGAAAATAAAGGGGTTCAAACAGGGATGTGGTAATTTACAAGTGGTTTACTATAACTATGTTGGGTATCATATGGAAGGGCATTATTTACACATTCCTAAATAATTTTGTGTTTAATTTTAAACACCGTACTTTTTGATTTATGACTAAAAATATGCAGAAAAAAACGTTTGACCCCCTTTTTTTCCCAGATTTATAAACAGAAAAATCTAAAATAATTCTCATAGTTAGAGACTTTTGTAAATATTACGACAAAAATAAAATAATTCGTATTGTTTTTATAAAATTATAGAAAATGTCATGCTTCATTCTAGGTAAGTCACTGGCTTGGCGAGTAATGGAAATGGTAAATCCAGATCTCTTCCTTGAAGCTTGCGAAAGTATTGGAAGTTCTTCTAGCAATTTGGGAAGCACGGACTTGGAAGAGTGACGAAAATCTTCTGATAGGTTTTAATTTCTGTCTTTTTTTACTTACCTACATAAATGTACAAAAAACAAAAGTATTACTACCACCTAATCGAACTGATAATAATAATAATAATAATAGTGTACCTAAATGCACACTTAGAAATTATTTTGTAGACGTACTAGGACATGTAAGTAAGAAGATTGTTTTTTTTCTTAAAAAAATATTAATTGCGATTTTATTGGTCGCCACTTGTGATCGTTATTTACTCGTTCGTGCATGGAATTATAGATTAATTTATTTTACCTTTTCTTTAATTATATCTTATTAGAAGTCAATAAATTAAGAAAAATCTGAAATGTTGGTGTCTCAATAAGCATCAATTCAGTACCTTTACATTAATAGGCTCAATAAGCATCAATTCAGTATCTTTAAACTAACTGTAAGGTGAGTAAATGAGCAAAAAAAGAAAATTTGATCTTGTTTTACTTCAATTGATCGTATATTTATTTAAACAAACATCTCTCTAAATAAGACAGGTAATCTATTATTTTAAGTAATAATAAATGTTTATTTCCATGATTTTAGTTTTTAATTATATTATTAATTGATGTATGCCATGTTAACTTGAAATTATTCAAAAATATGATCTTTAAATTGTTTAGAAACATTTTTAAGCAATACATCACTCTCACCAAAGTTGCTATGTCCAAAATATCATCATCAATAGTCATACTTGTTTTTTGCTGTGGAGTTCCTTAAAAAATAAGAAACTTTATCTCTTAAGATTTAATATATAAAGTGATATACAAAATTACAAGCTATTTATAATTTATTTGCTTATAATAACGGAATTTGCAATGTTAAGAATGTCAAGAATTACTGTATGACCTTTGTATTTCACTTACCGTGAACGCCATCTCGCGGCCAATAGTCAAATATTCGTATAGCTAGTTTACAGGTTTCAACAGTATTACAGATGTCTACCAGATACCCAATTTAAGTAAAATAATAATAACACTAAATTTTGAATGGAATAAATTGTATCTGATATCAAAGATTAATTAAACCATCTAAATATACACTCTCTTGTTTTATTTATACCTATTTATCAAATTTATTACATTANCAATTTTTTAAAATTTTAATAACTTTTTAACGGTTTAGTGAATCGACTTGTAATTTTTACAGGAGTTTTAGAATTTTGACATACCTCCCAAACATCCTTAAACCCACGCAGGGACTAGATTCTTCATTTTTCTAAATTAGTTATTATTGAGTTTAATTTAAATACACTTGCTGTGAGTATAAAAAAAATTATATTGCATTTATACAAATTTATTTAGTATTTGAGTTGTGTATAGTTTTTTAACCCTTTCGCTGACAGTTACACAAATACGTTGTGAATGATTTATAAAAGCAATGTAGGACCAAGATAATTTTTTGATTTTTGATGTCTTTGCGGTTTTCGTGTCTCCGCAAGGTTAATATTTGCAATTCTATATTTATAAACTTACATATCTGTTCACACATGTTCTCATTTAACTGCTACTGATTATGATAAGACTTACATATGTACGTATGCATGCATTTTATTTGGCAAACGGTGTTGATATTGATAGCACGATGATTTCTTGACGTCAATTGGTCTGTAAAATAAAATAAAGAATCGCCAATCAAAAGCATATTCGAATAATAATTCTGATTATATTATCATTTGAAGGAAAAACTTGCTCATGTTTCACATATGGTTCGTGATTTTATTATATCATCATTTTTTATTTTCAATTACCCACAGCTGATTTATTACGTGCTTATTTACCCGAAATAAAAATGTTCAGTCTCTCAAAGCGAGACTCGAGTCTCCGTCTCTCTTCGAGTCTCTCTGGTGTCGCTGAGAGAGACTGTCAAAAAAACTGTTTAGCGTCTCTGAACGGGAGACTCGAGTCGCTCATAGAGAGACCCTCATTTCGTATCCAGTCTCTGAACGAGAGACTCGAATCTCTCAATAAGTGGGGTCTCGATAGACATCGCAAAAATTTTCTAAGTTCAACATATTTCACAGATCCCAGTCTTTCTACGAGAGACTCGAGTCTCTCAACTTTTCAGTTTTATTCATACAGTCTCTCTGTGAGAGACTCGAATCTCTGAATTAACAATTTTATCGTTCGAGTCTCTCATACAGAGACTGTGAGAAATCCATAAAAATACCTAGGCAATAACTGAGAGACTGTGAAAGACTGTGAGAGACGCTCTCAGAGACGC